TTCCTCCTCCGGCGAACCACAGCTCCACCCTGGTGCTCCTTCTTTGTCTGGGCCTTGAGGCTAGTGGCCTTTCAGCCTCCCTTGTGCTACACCTCGTGGTGTCACCGGCCACGGCCGTGAGCGGGAGAGGGCCATCAGCGCTCGCGCCGAGCAACCCTCTCTCGGTCCAGGTTCAGTGCCGTTGTTTTGTCTTGATATCTCGGTCCGGCCGGTTTCGGTGTTCTGGCCGCAGATTCGTCCGGCTGGCTTCGCCGCCGTCTCCTCCAGGCAGGTGTCCGTCCGGTTGGTTCGCCGCCGGACTGAGTCCCCTAAGGATGCGCGAGTTGGTCTTCAGGCGTTGTTCGAAGTCGATCCATTCGGGCTTTCGTTTGCCATCGAGCAGTGGCTTCAGGCTTTCAGATCTGGCATCGGTTCTACCTAGCCGTTTTCATGGAAATTTTAGTTCAGGTGTCCGATTCTGTTGCGCTTTTAGTCATGTTTGTGGTCTTATTATTTGTGGTTGCTGGCTTTGTTCTCGTTTGGGTTCTGTCGTGGGTAGTTGGTAGTAGTTGGGGAGGTAGTAGTCTATAGTTAGTTTAGGTGTGTGTTTGTTTTTTTGTGTATTTTCCACTTGTTGAATTACTTATTTTGGTTTTGTTGGGAGTTGGGCTCTAGCGGTTCAGGTTCAATGTTGTTGCCATTGCCAGATTATCTGGACCCAATCCTCCTTTGTTTTATTTTGTCTAGGGTGCTACGGTTAGCATCTCTCCCAATTCCACCTCTTTAGTGCTTTTATATGGGCGAGTGTAAAATCTCATTTTTTTGAAGGAATATAAAATCTGTCGTTTCGAGAAAAAAAAAATCATATAAGTTTTATTTACTTTCACTAAATAATAGTATTATTACAACATTACGGTACTTCACAAAAATGTTGAATATTTATTACAAGGAATATATAAAGAAGTAATATCTTTATGTTTCTTTTAAAGTTGAACATAATATAATACCAATAAAATTTTTATAGTAAATTATTTACAAGATACATTCCCATGGATATATGTCTATGTAGTAAAAATTGGGAGATTCAAAACATATACTTTTTATTTCCTAGAAATATTCGATCTTGTTATGTCGTTATCTAATAATGACAACTTTTTTCGTAGAGTATTGAATGACACGTCATATAATGGGCATCAACAATAATAGGGGTACACAACGTCGGTTAACCGAGCCAAACCGACCGAAATTGAAAATTCGGGTTTGGACCCCAAACGAATATTTGGTTCGATTTTCGGTTTACATTTTCTTAAATTTTCAGTTTTCGGTTCGGTTTGGATAATTTTGATCGGTTAACTAAACCGAATCGAAAATCGATTTGTACACATAATATACAAGTTTTTTAATTATACATATAAGTTATAAAAACATTAATTTGCGTCAATAGTTGATTCTTTTCAAGCTTCAATGACTCCTAAAATGACTCAAGCATTAATTTACACTCAAGATTGGCTTCGTCATAGTCTAAGCCACGGTTCGGGTACGAGATCTTCCTTTGAAAAGAATTTAGAATTTATTGAGAAAATTAAACAAGGTGATAATTTTATTTTTTTTTTTGTTCGGATAAAACATCAAATTTTTTGTTGGGTTAAAAATTCATAATTTATTGAGAAGATTAAGTATTTATTGCAATTAACCGAAAATCGAACACCAACCGCTGAATTTTCGGTTAAAAATCGAACCGAACCGTAATTTTCGGTTCGGTTTTTCGGTTAAGATAATATACAAACCGAATTTTCGGTTAACCAAAATTTTGTTCAGTTCGATTTGGTTTTGCCCGAATGAGCAACCCTAAACAATAGAATATTCGTAGAGTTATTGGATGACACGTCATATAATGGCATCAACCCTGGCCCGGTGGGTTTGGGCCATCGACCCGGCACGACCTAGGTCCGTGCCAGTTCAGGGTCCATGAAACCCAACCCGTCGGCTCGTCGGCCCACTGAGCCCGGCCCGTGTTTTGGCCATGTCTACTTGTGTGTTCGCTATATTAGATCATATAAGTTCTAATTACTTTGACTAAATAATAGTATTATTACAACATTACGGAACTTCACAAAAATGTTGAATATAATTACAAGAAATATATAAAAAAGTAATATGTTTACGTTTCTTTTATCATTGAACATAAGAGCATCTTTAACAATACTTTCTCATAAAACTTCATTTACACTTCTCAATATCTCAATATGCCACATCATCCAAAACCTCATTCTTACTCCTACACTCATAAACCTCCAATAACAATAAACCTCATAAACCTCATTTTTTATGGGTCCCACATGTTTCTCACTTACATTTAATTAATACATACTCTTATATATTTATTAATATTTTAAAACTATAACTCCATTTTATTTTTATTCAACCTATATGTTTAATATATATCATAAATACATATAAATAATTAATATAAGTATATAGAATTATATTCACTCCTTTGTTTTACGAGAAAAAAGTTTGTTGAAATTCGTTTTTCTTCGAAAATACCTCGTTTTCAATTTTTTTTTTTTTTTACAATAATTGTAACTCGTTCTTATATCAATTCA